AAATTAGTAGTAAAAGTAGTTAATAAGTGTCAGAAGATATTACAAGTTCATAATTAATAAGAAACTGAAAAATTAAAAGAAAAAAAACTCATATTTTGATTATATTAATTCTAGAAAAAAAAGAAAATTAAAGTTATTTAGTATATTATAGTATTATAGTAAAGCTAATAATAAAGCTATTATTTTTTTAACTTGGCTAATTAAAGATTTGTAAAGTATGTCATTACTTCAGCATCAGTCATAATAAAATAATATAGCTGAGTGCTGGATATTAGTCAGAAAATCACATGATAAATACTTTTTTATTATGGCTAGAGTACTAGTCTTAACCAATTTAACATCAAGTCTATTTCCAAATAATAAGAGTATTAATAAAAAATTAAATAATAATATAAAATTAAAAGTCAATGGGAATTTACTTCTAATCACTAAAATACTACATGCTATCTTTAGATATTTTCTGCCAATTTGAAGACTTGATAGCTATGTCTTTTATTACAAGAAGGAATTAATATCTATTAGCTTATTAGTAATATAGCATCAAGAATTTTTTTCAGAATAGAATGATAAAATAAAAAAAGTTAACTTTAAAAGATGATATTAATATTATATATAAGAGTATATCTTTATCTGAATAGCTATAATAATATTTGCATAGTTAGTAATAGTTTCTATTTATAAAACTAAAGGTAATTAATAAATAAAGGGAAATAAAAATAAAAAAAAGATTATTCCTTATATAAAAAATAATAAAAGAAAAAGAATAATAAAAGTAATAGTGATTATTTAAGATTTCTTTATCTAATATCTATTGAAAAATGTTGTTACATATTATAATATAATCTCTTAAGGATAAACTAATTGAATCACAAGATATGAATATTATAATTAAAGTTAAATTAAGATTAGAATTAAGATTATTATTGTTTATATGAAATATATAGTAAAATTTTACAAGAAATATTTTTATGATTTCAAAATATTTTTCAAAAATTTATTTTGGATTTTTTGTATTAGATTTATCTCTTAAAGAAATATGTAACCTGTAATAAAATGCAATATCACAAATAAATTTACTCTTATTTATTATAAAATATAGAAAATATAAGTATATCATTATATCAATAATATTGTGAATTATTTTTAACTTTATTATTCTATATACTAATTACATGTTTAGCACTTGTCAGAAGTAATCTATCTCCTAGAGAAGTGCTCAATAATTATTATATTACTTCCTAAAAATATTAGATCTAAAGAAAATAAAATATAATACAATGATGAAGAGTGAATTATTAAATAATTTACAAGAGTAGAAAGTCTCTAATTGTGATAATCTTTATGAAGGCTACTATATGGAATAGTAAAAATTTTAGCAAATAATCAATGAGCTAGGTATAGTTACTGCTTACTACTAATAAAATATAAAAATAGTTGGACTTATTGATTTAGCTAACAAAAAAATAATCAAAATAAGGTAATAAGTAAATTTAACAAGATACTAAAAAAAAATTAAACAAGATACAAAATAAATTCAAATTGAATTTATAAAATGAAATATAAAGATAAATATGACTTATTTAGAGTGGTATTCTTTTATATTAGATAGAAAAGTAATAAAAACTATTTGTATGCAAGATTAAAGATAAGTAAGAACAATAGAATATTTATAAGCAAAAGATATTTCACAAGTTAATATCTTTATTTTTAATTTTTGTTGTTCTATTCTTGTTGAGAGGCCAAGAACTTATCTTTATATATATATATAGATCTTTAATAGAGAGTCCACTAAAGCTGAATAGTATTATGTGATTTTGGATTCAATCCAAATTCAAATCATGTGAAAAATACATATGATAAGCAATATATAAAATATATATATGATAAGTAATAATTAATTGAATAATTTTGATCAATAGATAATCATAATATTGATTGATTAATAATTAAGAATAAAGCTCATAATAATCAGAATAAAGCATATTTATTTTTTTATAAAAAATAATAGTAATAAATACAATTATAAAATTAATTGACTTGTAAAATAATAAATTATTATATTGTAATTTTAAAAATTAGATTTAACAACTTATTCAAATATATAATAAATACTTTAGTAATATTATTATTACCTTCATTCTTAATTTTTCAATACTTATCCCACATCTTTTCTAAAAGCTTATCTATCTGTAATCTTCATATCTCTATCTCTCTCTCCACTTGAGTCTGAATAGGCTCAAATATTTTAATTATTTTATGATACTTATATACTTCAAATCCAATCTTTATAAATATTTGTTGAAATTTCTTCTAAATATCAATCATTAGTAACTTATTAAAACTAAAAATATGTTTATAAAAAATATGTCAACAAGAAAGTAGATAGTGATAAAAGAATATACAAGAATATGCTGATGATATTAGATTTGATAGTAGCTTTCCTTTTATAATTCTCATACTTATAATAATAGCCTCAACTATAATTAGCTTTTGAATACAGTAGAGAAATTTGCAAACTTCCTTTAGAATCTCATTATTAAGGTTGACTATAGAAATTTATTTCTGATAGAAATTAAAGATAGTCTTTTTAGAGTCAAATCATCTTTTACTATCAAGATCAGTAATCTTGTGGCATGCTTCTAATATTAATGCAAGTATTTGGTGAGTAGAGAATTATAATAAAAAATATTATTAAGCAAGTGTGATATCTATAAGATCAAACTCTTTAGTTGTTATTCTTTTAAGCTTACTATAGAAGAATTCTAATAGATTAGTCAAGGTGACTTGTAATAGAAGGGATAAATGCTATTGCATCTAGAATATCCATTTTTCTGTATTTCTAATATAATTTTAATTAATATAGTTGATAATATCAGATACAGAACAAGTGGTAATAATATTATTAATAATCTTTTTATAGCTAATTCTTATTCATTTATGTATAGTCAAGACTAATTAATTGCATATTGCTAGATGGTAGATCTTGCGTAGTCATATATATATTATATATATGATGCAAAGAATTATATTACAGTTTTATTTATCATATATGATTTCTAGAAAAGCATTTATAATGCTATTAATCTTCACGCTACTCTGATCAAAAAGTATATATTAAGAGTGTCAATAAGATACAAGTTTATAAATTATCTTTAACACTTTAGTAATTATATCACTATCTTTATTACTTATAAGAAAATAAGTATTAATATTTCAATATTTATAATTATTATAAATGTATAATATGAAGAGGTATCATAAATGTTTATTAGTATTATGTGTGGAGTCTATAAATATTAGCCACTCAAAAAGTTACAATTTCTCTAACTACTTGAAATTTACAAAAATAAAATCTTGAGATAATTTTTACATGATATTATATATATCTATATATATTATTTTATATTGAAAAATATTTAACTTGATAATTTTTGCTTATTAAAAAATTGAGTATATTTTTAATATCAGCTTCTAGATCATATTTGCTAATGAGATGAGTCATCAGCAGTCTGCATAACTTTTGTTAGATATTTGCAACTTCAGTTCTGTGTAAATTTTGAACTATGATATTGAGATCTTCTTTACTCATGATCTCTTTGACTATAGCTATAATGATGGGTGGAGTATATAATTTGCTTGTTTCATTAACTACTAATTTTTTAATAATCTCAGATTACTTAATCTTGTCATTATTATTGATTGAATATGTATGATTCAGCATATTTTTAAAATGCTCAATTTTGACTATTTGAAAAGTAGCAATATGTATTATCTTAATTTTTATATTGTATTTACCAGAATCATGCTTACTTATTTTTTTTATTTTTCTATGGAGATATCTTTTTTGTATATATTCAATTCATTATATTTTGCAAGATGACAGATATAGATAATCCAAAAATTATCATTGACACACTTCTAACTATTATGTCATATCTATATATTAGAAATAAGTGGTCAAAAGTTCTTGTGGAATTCTTTTTCTGAAATCTCAAATGACGTATTGACATTGAATAACTTTGTATATTTTTGATTAATCACTTGTAACATAATTAAAGTAAAAATATTGGGGAATTTAAATAAGAATGATGGATGAATATAAAGTAGTAGAATAAGAAAGTTGATAAACTGAACTAGAAAAAAAACAAATAAAAAATTATAGAAATATTGAGTATATGTTTGAATGAGTATGTAATAGAGAAATAAAATAAAAAGTATACAGTATTAGAAATGGTGAGTATGCATAGAATTAATTTCTTGTGTTATTATTATAATACTTATAAAGAATATATGATATTAGAAATGGCAAGTTATTATAATACTTATAGCTTGTATTTGATATCAAAAACATATTCTTAATAATCTTAGTCCTCTTCTCCTTCTCCTTCTCCTTCTCCTTTCTCTTCTCTCTTAAAAAAAGCAATGCTGCCTTGCAATAAATAATATTAATCAATATATTTACTACATCCTTGTAATAAACAAAATTTTTTTCTTGCGCATGTGAAAATGACTTGCAAATCAGATCAAATCAATCCAGATCATATCTGAATTGACTTGATCCGAATTGCACTACCCGGCTTTAGTATTCCCCTTTAACAGGAATTACTAATGATAAGTTTCTATATTATTACTTTGATGTTTGCATGAATCTTGATCTAATTAATATCAATTTCAAATATGTAATTACGTGCTTTTCTATCTCTTGTGTTGGTTTGATTTCTAAATGTATCAATAGATGCTAAATAATAAATAATGCTAAAGAAAAATAAAGAGAAAAACAAAAGAATTTGAGAAGCATTAATATCAAGTATTAATTATAATTTCAAAGTAAAGTGTAATATTAATTATATTAATATTAATTATGTATTATAGGCGAATTGTTATGATAAATTTAATTACAAATTGTCAAATATTGATTATCATGAAAGCTAATTTTTAGAAATTTTGGATATTAATTATTATGAAAACTATACAATAAATATAAATATATAAAATTTTCTTTAATCACTAAGGGAACCATTTGAATTATTTTCTTCTGATGGTGATACAGGTGTTCGAGTTCGCACATCTTCCATCGAAATATGTGGTGTACTGGTAGCAGTAGTAGGTGCTGTTCTTCTCTGTAGTCTAATCTGATAACCTAACGAGTATAAAAAATGCCAACAAATTCCACCAACTCCTATTACCCCAAAACTGACAACATAAGGGAGGTAATATGGATATTGCTGATTTGCTTGTGCGTTATCGTTTACAAAAGTCCCAATTATGATAAATAATGCGAATATAATAAATATTACAGGTATCGCGATCCACACTTTGAACGGACGTATTAGGTTGGGTAGAGTATGGCGCATATACTAAAAATATTTGAAAAATGATAAGTAAAATATTCACAACGAACTACCAATTAACATAAACACTTACCAATAATCCAAAAGCACTCAGACACAAAAATATCCACACGCAATACTCGCTCAGGTTAACAAAAAATTTAAATGGATCATTATGTGGATAAAAGATAACAATCAATGAAGACCAAACTGCTTGTGTTATCTAAAAACAAAACTGCTCATTAAAGAAAAAAGATAAATATTGAAGAAAATAAAGGAAATAAAATATATTTATACCAATGCAACATCTGGGGTATCTTTATTTCGATTCCATTGTCGTAACCTTGATGAGAAAGGAATGTATCCTCTTTTAGCAGCGGCTACAATTACTCGCGATCCAGCCCATATATTTGCGGCCAATACTCCAAAAGCTGATAAACAGACGAAAAAGGATAATGCACGAGCTAAATTAAAACCGCCGACTTGTAAAGCGAATTTGCCAGCAATAATTTCTGAAGGATCATTAGAGTTCGTTATTTCTGATAATGGTACGTTCGTATATGCGATATTAGCACAAAGGTCTAATGTATAAAAATCATTATAAATTCATAAGAAAATATCAACAAAGCATTATTTGCAAATTAAAATAATACCTACACAAAAAAGTAACAATAATGACGCTAAGACTATTTGACCTTTTTAGTTTCCTTTGAGGATCGACGAATTCATCCAAAGTATCTTATAATGATAAAAAGATTTAATATTCGACTATATTGAGAACGCATACTAACGATTTTTATACCTACAATTTAAATTATTCCATCCGTCATATGCAAATAAAATAGGAATAAGTGCTGCAGTCAAAGAGCTTGCACTAATTTTCGCATTACTAGGAAACATATTCTTCCAATTCGTATCTGTATCATTAATAACCCGAGGAATTGTTGCTAATCCAATAATCGATATCACAAGCAGTGTCAATGTCTTTATAATTGTGAGCGTTTGATTTATATGGTTTGCCCATTTGTTAGATTGAATGTGGTAAAACGTAACTATAAATATTGCGGCTAACGAACAAAGTCGTAATCGCCTAAGACAGAATTTCTAGGTTTAGTATCAATATGTGACTCCCTATAAAGATAACGATATCACTATTACTTTTGAATCTTTTACCAAAAAGTCCAATCAACGATATATTTATTTGGATGCAGTTCACGCTCATTTACGCTAATTAAATATAAGAGATATTGCGCGAAAATATTTGAGACAGCGGATATAAAGGCTGGTCGTATTGCCACTATCATGGTAAAACTAAACGTATAACTAAATAAAGCTTTAGGACGAGGATATGCTTTTTCCAGATACACAGTTTCTCCGCCCCCATCTGATATAGAGCTTCCTAACTATTATTATTAAAAATTAATATCTGTTAAAAAATGATATTAGATGTAAATAAAAAAATAAATACCTCTACGTAAGTAAGTGAACCAAATAAAGAGGCAATTCCACCCACTGCCCATAAAATTAATGCTATCCCAGGAGAATGAATTTCTGTTAAAACTAGACCGGGACTTGAGAATATTCCAACGCCAATCATGTTATTGCAATTATTTCCAATACCGGCAAGAGTGCCTAAAAGTCTGGTTCTTTCCGGCGCCGAATCAATGGTACTTCCACTAATGCTTTCGTGATCGGTCATTATTTAATTTATCGTAAAACTTTTTGAAGTTGAATCCATAAATATGTTCTGTAAAGAAGTATAAATACATTTTGACAACATCTATTTCGAGTACAGAAATCCACGTTCATTGTTTAGGTTCCGAAAAAGTGACAAGCACAAAATTCGTACCACAAGCGTAAAGACAATACTTTTTGGTATAATTGTCTCGATATATATTTAATTATAACAAAAACTCGATGAAATTTTTTGTCATATATCATATCAATATTTATTAAAGAATTATAAATTTTCTAAAATCGATAACTGCAGTTCAAAAGAATATTCTGAAAACAAAATGTATGAGAAAACAAAGAAAATAATTTTTGTGATTACAATACCTCAAAGAAATTGTACATGTATTCACTTTTTGTGTTGCGCATTTTTAATTGTACATGTATATCATGTCCAAATTTCATTTTTCAAATTTCTCGGTAACGGTAACACAAATTTCATCATTCCAATTTGATCTTTTTCGTGCGACGATATCATAATCATACGTTATTTCTAATATATTGTTCTGAGATTATAAACAATCCCAATAAAACTAGGTTTCAAAATCTATTCTCATAGTTGTTGCATGCTGCATGTTTAGCAAGATAGGCATGTCTTAATTTCTATTGGATGACTGCCATGTCATCATTCAAGAGAAAAACCTGAATAAACTGATTATTAATTCACGGGAAATTCTTTTAGGTCAACTTTGGTCTCTCTGGCTTCAGTGTAAACTTTTAGATATATTGGAAAAATTCGGAGATTGTCTAAGAAAATTCTAGGAATTAAATAATTAATAGCACTATTCGAATTTAGTGTTCATCCATTTAATTACAAAAATTTTTTAATTAAAATAATACTATCTTTGTAGTTAGAACAATTCTTTTAAAAAATTATGCAATTATAAATTTTATTTTAATATATAAGAATAAAATTTTTTTTAACATCTTTAATAATTGATCATTTCTCAAAAATTATATACATTTGTAGGAAGGCTTTTTAATATAAATCTATAAAAGAATATTTAAATTTAAAAATTTTATATGAATTGAGTTTATCTAATAGTACAGATTAATTTAACAAAAATATTTTGTAAAGGTTTGAATTAGAATTTCAAAAAATTATTAAACAAAAATATTTTTATATCTTATAAAATATAAGATATAATATAGTTAAGATTATAATTAGAAAAATCTTTTTGCAGATAATATAATATTAAATATATAATATAATTAAAAATATACTTAATTCTGCTATAATTAATAAAAAAATATAAAGATATACTGTATTTGCCCCCAAAATAAGCACCTCCAAAATAAGCACAAATGGCCTTTAGTTTTCAAATATAGGATTTTTAAGAATAAGCACATCCAAAAATAAGTATATATTATGTATTAGTATCAGAATCAGTGACTGAATTATCATTCTGTAATACAACTTCAGGTACATATTCAATATCTGAATTATAATCATTAATAATATCATCATCCTCTGTTCTATCTAAATTATTAGAAATTCCATATTTTTTAAAAGATTTAATAACCATGTCAGTTGGTATATCATTTCATACCTCAATAATCCATTTACAAATAATATTATGATCCATTTTTTTTAAATTCCCTTCTTTTGTTAAATTATATTCACCTCTAATCATCCATTCTTCCCATTTTTCACTTAGTCGATCTTTAAATAATTTATTTAAACAAATATCTAAAGGTTATATAACTAATGTAAGATCTCTAGAAATAATTACCAAGTCAGTATTTTGCTCTTTGCATTATTTTTTTACAGGATCTGTCTTATAAACCTCAAATGAATCCATTACTAATAAAGATTTTTTTTTATAAGTCCACCTGGTCTTTTTTCTCAAACTTTTTTCATCCATGATTGCATAATTCATTCATCTATTTACCTCTTTTCTTGCATTTAAATAATAATTCCTAAGGGAAAATTATTGGGAAGATATTTTTCTTTAAATATAACCATTGGTATAAGTTTAGTATCATTAGTCAAAATAGTCAGAATGCAAGTAAATTAATTTTTTTTATTACTGGTGATTCATATATTTACAGTTTTATTATTTTTTTTTCAATAGTAATATTTCTCATTATATCAAAAAAATAGGTGTCTCATCCATATTACTAATTTATTCAATATCATAATTTTATACTTGATGATGACAAATAATAAATCATTGAAAAGAAATAAGCTTTTCATTAAGATTATCAGGAAGCTTCTGAGAGATTTTTGTTTATTGATATAATAAAAGCTCATAATATTTGAGAAATTGATGAAACTAATAGTTGGATATGATAAAAATATTAGATATATTAAAATAGGTATCTTTAAAGTCATTTTCTAATAGTTATTTCATTTGATGCTTAATTATGATAGCATTTAATATGATATCATTTTGTCTAAACTCAAAAATCCATTCTTTAAGTCTTTCTTCAGCAGTGAGATAGACAGCTTTTCAACCTAATCCCATACTATGATTATTATAACTTGTCAAAACAAGCTTATCTTTATATTTAATCTAATATAATACCATTGAATGATTAATACCAAATTTTCTGATAGCATTCATTATGTCTTTTTTCATGATAAAATTAATAATAGTAAGTTTTTCTAAGACAGTATATGAATTGCAAGATTTTTTATTAGGATTGATCATTTAGAAGAGAAATTAATATGAATTGATACAAATCTATACTAATTTACATTAAAAAAAATTGGTGGTAGTATATTTGTCATTCAAAAAAAAATAATTCTGAAAATAAACATGATACTGATTTAGAGCTCAAAATATATCTCAAAAACTCATGCTTATTATAAGACAAATTCAGTAATAAATAATAAAAAGAAAAAGAATCATTTTATATATAATTAAGAAAGATTTATGCTTTTTAAATTCAAGTCTAATTTGGATTTTACTTGAACTAAATAATATATTAATTTTAAACCAAATTATAAAGTTTAGCTGGCATTACAAATCTATATAAATATTCTAATTATAGAGTATTTTTAATAATATTTAAAATATTCTAAGTTAAAATAAACTTTAGTTTGTTTTAATAAAGTTATAAAAAATTAATTTTATTAAATAAAAATACAGTTCTAAACTAGAATAATATTTTTATTTTTATATTTATCTTTAAATATTTTCAGATTTAGAATAGAAATTTAAATTAACTAAAATTCTCTTAAATTCAAACTTTAAATTTGAATTTTTAATTAATTTTATATGCAATTAGAAAAAATATATATTAAAATAATAAATTTAAGCTTTATTTTGAGCTAAAAATAAAAAATATTTATTATTGAATTAAAAACTTTCATATATAGGAGGTGGAAAAAAATATTGGATATTTCATATATTTTTAAATTGATTTATATTATTGGATCTTGTATTTTTTTTTGACAATTATTTATAATAAATTATTTATATATAATAATAATTTATAATCAAAACAAATCTCATCTTCATATGTCATATTTAGAAGTTATAAAGCTACATGCAATTTTCTCTCAAAAAATTATTCTTTAAATTTATTATATAATATACTGTGAAAAAGAATTAACAGAAAGTCAAAAAAGTGAAATTATTATTGCAAAAAAACTTGATCACACACATACTGAGATCTTTAAAACTGTATATTATTCTGTAATTCACATGTTAGAAGCACATGAGCTTAAGAGATTATCTAAAAAATAATCAGATCATCCATGGGAAGAGATAAAAGAAATATTGAAAGATTTTTTTAATTAATTTTATTTATTTATAGAAGATTCTGATATTTATTTATTTATAGAATAATTCAGATATTTATATTATGATTCTAATACTTTGTATAATCTGGGAAGGAGTTTAATGGCAAGAATTTTTGTTTCAGGTTACTGAAGTCTTGAGATGGTTGCATGCAGATTTGTTATGAATTGGTGAATGATCTGATCATTTTTTAGATGATTTTTTAAGCTTGTATACTTCTAACATGTGGATTACAAAACAAACTACAGCCTTAGAGATCTTGATATGTGTGTGACCAAGTTTTTTGCAATAATAATTTCATCTTTCTGACTTTTTGTTAATTCTTTTTCATGGCACATCATGTGATAAAATTTAAAGAATGATTTTTTGAGAGGAAATTGCATATAGCTTTATAACACCTGGATGCATCATATAAAGATGAGATTTGTTTTGGTTATAGATCATTACTATATGTAAATAATTTATTATAAAATAATTATCAAAAAAACACATGATCCAATGATATATTATCAATTTAAAAATGTGTGAAACCTCCAATATTTCTTTCCATCCCCTGTATATAATGAAAACATATATTTTACTAATTATAATTTGTAAAAAATTCAAGCGCTGCATTATTTTTGATTGCCACTATATAGTATGAATGATTAATATTATATATTAAAGGAACTTTACTTGAATTCTCTAGTTACAACAAGAAAAATATTTGAAAGTATACTTTAACAAATCAAATCTGAAGCCTGATGCATTTTTTTTAAAAGTCAGTGCAATTTTAAAGATAACCACACAAAAAATTAATAATAGAACGCCTCTAAGTAGGACAACATATCGATATTAGCACATGACATGTCAATGCAGATTAAGAACTATTACTAATAGTATTATTCAAAACTTTTATTTTTTCCTAACTCAAAGTTTTAATTTCAAGATCAGTTAATCACTTGAACTCATATTTTGAGTTGGATTCAATCTTCGATTTGAGTTTGATATATAATTATATACATTTTTTAAAGCTTGGCTCTTTATCATTCGAACAGATTCCCCAAGTTAAGTGAAATTATTTAATTCTAAGAATGTTGCTGCCGCTGTGTATTGAAAATAGATACAGAATTTCTAGATTTTTATGATAGATGTATAAGCAATGATTTTAAAAAACTTCAACTAACCACCATTCACATCCGTATGAACTGTAATTAATTCTAAAAACATAATTTTTATTTCGTTGACAAAATTTTTTTTCAAATGACCGGTCATATGAAATTTAAAATAAAAATCGAAGTTTATTTGTTTGAGATTGCCATAAGATATAAAAAAAATATCGTATTCAAATCGATTTGAAAAGACGATTAGTCAACGTGTATGCTTTATAAAATGATAGCCGCCTATAATATATGCGGTGCTTTCAAATTAAAAAAAAATCATTCTAAATGCAGTGAAGTATTTACCTTATGACACTACTCACAGTACATGTATTTAGAGACGAAATTTAGACTTGATAGAGTTTTATTATCCAGTTAAGTCATAAATAGATAGAGGGCGTGTAAAGATGATAATTTAGATACAGCGCATCTTTCTAAAATCAATTGAATAATACAATGTGATGCTTTTTATTTTAATTCAAATACTACACTTAGAATTGTAATGCAAAACATCTGTTTTAGAATACTCCATCTTATTACTCATCTCGTATCCTACCAAACTTTGGCATCACTTATTTTGAGCTTCGAAGATTAACTTTTAAAATTTATTAAAATATATACATTATATAAATATATATAAAAATAAAATATATTCTATAAGATTACTAAAAAAAACACATTTTTTAAAATAGTATCATCTATTTAAAATGAACATTTTCTAAGTGCCAATATTGGTAAATGTTTTTAATTTACAGAAATTTTGTAGGTAAATAAAGATTGATACCATTTGACACAGAAGTATCATTTGTATTAGTGAATTCTAATGATAATTCAGCCGCCTGCTTCGGGGATAACATCCGACGAATTACGTGATGAACTGCCAGCTGTATTTGATCTTATTACAATCCGAACACCTAACTCGTATAGAAGGGTCCAACAAATTCCACCAACTCCTATTACCACAAAACCGACAATATAAGGAAGGTAATATTTATATATTGCATATGTGATATCTTTAGAACTTTCACATTGTTGATCAGCGTTCGGTTGATCTGGATGTACTTGTGGTGTGTTGTCGTTTACAAAAGATCCAAATATGATGAATAGCGCAAATATAATAAATACTATGGGTATTATGCGCCACACTTTGAACGGACGATGTAGGTTAGGATAAGTAAAGCGCATAATCTGAAAATATTTGTAAAAATGATAATTAGAATCTTGAACTCATTGAAAGTTTTGACAACTATCAAATAATATAAAACTTACCAGTAGTCCCAAAGCGCTCAGAAATAAAAATATCCACATGCAATACACGCCCAAACTAACAAAAAATGCAAATGGATCATTATATGGATAGAAAATAATGATCAGTGCACACCAAATCGCTTGTGCTAGCTAAAAATTAAGAATTCATTAGTTAAGAGATCAAAGGAGAATAAAAGTCTGAGAATAGAAAATAAATTTATACCAATGCATTAATTGGAGAATCTGTATTTTGATCCCATCTTCGTAACCATGACGAGAAAGGAATATAGTCTCTTTTAGCAGCGGCTACAATTACTCGTGATCCGGCCCATACGTCTGCAGCCACCGCTCCAAAAGCTGATAGACAGACGAAAAAGGACAATGCACGAGCAAACTTAAAGCCACCGACTTGGAAAGCGAATCGGCCAGCAATGATTTCTGAAGGTTCATTAGAGCCAGTTATTTTTGATAATGGTACATTCGTGTATGCAATATTAACACCAAGGTCTATATTATAGATTCATAAATTAATTTAAGAAGATTTAAACAAAGATTTCATTCATAATAAAATAATACCTACACAAAATAGTAATAATAAAGACGCTAATACTATTCGATTTCTTCAATTCTTCTTGAGGATTGCGGAATTCATCCAAACTATCTATAAAAAAGATTATTATTTGAGTACATGTGAAACGCATACAAACGATTTTTTTATACATACAATTTAAATTATTCCATCCATCATACGCAAATAAAATAGCAATAAGTGCAGCAGTTAAAGAGCTTGCACTAATTGTCGCATTACTAGGAAACATATTCTTCCAATTCGTATCTGGATCATTAATAACATGAGGAATTGTTGCTAATCCAATAATCGATATCACAAGCAGTGTCAACGTCTTTATAATTGTGAGCGTTTGATTTATATGGTTTGCCCATCTGTTAGATTGAATGTGGTAAAATGTAACTATAAATATTGTGGCTAACGAACAAAGCCGTAATTGCCTAATACATGTAACAGAATTTCTAGATTTAGTAGATGAATCCTATAACGATAACAATAATGTCAATTCTTACCAAAAATTCCAATCAGCAATATATTTATTAGGATGCAGATAATCAATGTCACAACGTTCTTTAGCCTTGATTAGGTATAAGAAATATTGTGCAAAAACATTGGCTACTGCGGATATAAAGGCTGGTCGTATTGCCACAATCATGGTAAAACTAAAGATATAGCTAAATAATGCCTTAGGACGTTGATATGCTTTTTCCAGATACACAGTTTCTCCACCCCCATCCGATATAGAACTTCCTAACTATTATTATTAAAAAATTAAGTTATCATGTTAAAAGATGATATTAGACGTAAATAAAAAAATAAATACCTCGACGTAAGTGAGTGAACCAAATAAAGCGGCAATCCCACCCACTGCCCATAAAATTAATGCTATCCCAGGTGACTGAATTTCTTTTAAAACTAAACCAGGACTTGAGAATATTCCAACACCGATCATGTTATTGCAGTTATTTCCAATACCATCAAAAGTTCCTAAAAGTGGGATTTCTTGGTTATCATCACTATTATTACTGGATCCTTGCTCGTCCATTATTTTAATTTATGTTTATCGGAATCTTTTGAGTTTGAATTCATAAATCTGTCTATATAGCTGTATAAATACATTTTGACAATATTAACTATCTCGGAGGCAGAATTCCAGCATTGTTGTTTAGATTTCTGAGAAAGTTTCACTTACTAACTACAAACGTAAATGCAATACTTTTTTGTATAATTATCTTGATGCATATTTAGTTGTAACAAAAAATCAATTAGGAATTTCTCATTCATTAGAGAAGTATTTAAGTTTCTAAATGATAACTGCAGTTTCAAAAAGAATATTCCAAAACCGATTATTTACGAGAAAACAAAGAAACTATTTTTGTGATTACAGTGCATCAAAGGAATTGTATACACTTTTTTTGTGCTGCACGCGCGCGAATTTTTAATTACATGTATATCATCCCCTAATTTCATTTTTTGAATTTCTCGTTAAACACAAATTTCTCAATAATCTAGCGCCGCCAGGAGCGCAAAAATTTATTTGTGCCTATCGTTATACATGTATTACAACTGATCTTCGTGCGACAAAACATCGTTATCATGCCATACATATCGTCTTTATTTCTGATATTTCGCTCTTATCGTTATATAGATTGAAAAATGATGACAAACATCACAAAGTGACTATTTTAGCTATTATTTCCAATAAAGTTAGGTTTTTAATAGCTATTGCATGTTGTACATGTTGTAACCCCCCCCCCAATTCTGATTTTTCAGCAAGATAGATTAAGCGTGTCTTATTTTTCATTCAATTGGATGACAGCATTTTAGTACTAAGTGTTTAAAGTTTTGCTAAATCAATTTGTCAACAAAATTTGAGTCATTCACTTGTTGAAGGAAAACCTAATATTATTAATTCATTGGAAGGTTTAGTCAGCCTTTGGTCTCTCTGAATAATATTGAACATTTGTACTAACATTCAATAAAAACGATCAATGCAAACTTTTAGATATATCGAGAAAGTTCGAAGAAAGTTTGTACAGTATGATGCAAAAAAACCAGAATTATATTTCTTTAATATATTCATATAACTCTATAAAAAAATATTTAAATTTTAAGAAATTTTATATTTATTTTTAAATAACCTAATAAAATATTTTGCATATGTATTTTTATACATTTTATATAATATATATTATCTATATATACTGAGTTCTCCCGGAAATAAGCATCATTTTTTGGACTCAAAAATAGAATTTCCAGAAATAAGCATTACTCAATCAATATAACAAATAAAGGTGGTAATTATTTTCAAGCAGTCTTTATACATGAGATGCGTAATGCTTATTTATTAGGTGCTTATTTCCGTGAGAAGAGGATAAATAATTTGGAAATTTTGGATACAGATATGCTAAATTAAAAGATAAAATATAAAAAGTTTTTCTTATAATCAAAGTATATCAATAATTTAATAGAAATTAGAATTGCCAAACTAAATAAAAATATTAAAACTAATAAATAAACTAAGATAGTTCATATTATTTTACTTGATAGTGAAGCATCACAAAACTTTATTGATGAAGCATATGTTCAGAATAATCAACTACAAATACACAATATAAATCTGACTACCGTGAAACTTACTAATGATTATAAAAAGGAAGTCAACTTATCTGTAATAATCAAGAAATTAAAGCTAGATACTTATTGTACATCTGGTATTAATGTGCAAGTTCTCAATATTCAATGCTATGATCTCATACTTGATAAATTATCACTTTATTATACCAATCCCATCATTAACTAGTATAGTAATTTCATAATATTTAACTATGACAACAAAGTAATCAAGATTAATGCTAATAAAGATAAACTTGCATCTAGTTGCAATTTACTTTATATCTCTCATCAACAATTTGCTGAAATTCCACCTAATACTGAGTTATTTGCAATCTGTACTATAATAAAAGAAATATATCAAGAAGTAATAACTTCTTGTCAACTAATCAAAGAATTTGCTGAAATATTTTCTAATTCACTTCCTAATAAACTATCACAAAAATATGCTATAGATCATGCTATTGATTTGATATCTGATTCTAAATTACTATCTCACTCTATATATCACTTGTCTTATATTAAAATAGATAAATTGAAGAAATAATTATCTGAATTACTTAGCAAAGATTTTATTTGTCCAAAGTCTTTTACTATTTGGAGTATCTATCTTATTTATATATAAAAAGAAAGAAACTCTTTGACTTTATATAAATTATTATGCATTAAATAAAATTATAATTAAAAATTATTATTCTTTACCTTATGTTAATGAATTAATGAATCATTTAGCTAGAGCATAATACTTTTCTAAATTGGATCTCTACTTTGAATATTATCAAATTAGAATTAAGAAAGAAAATATGATCACTATGAATTTCTTGTACTAATATTTAGTCTTTTTAATATACTTATCACTTTTATAATTCTTATAAATAATATTTTTCATAACTATTTAAACAAATTTATTATTATCTATCTTAATGATATTCTTATATTTAGCAATACTAAAGAAGAACATCTTAATTATCTTTATATTATTCTTTTTAAACTTTATAAATATAAATTATATACTAAATTAAAGAAATATAAACTCAAAAAATAATATGTTAAATACTTAGATTATTTTATTTTAGATCAAGAAATTTTGATAGATCAATATAAAATTACTATCATTTATGACTGGTCTCAATCAATAAATATCTCTAAACTTCAGTCATTTTTAAATTTTATTAGTTATTATAGGAAATTCATCAAAGAATTTTCTATAACTATCTTATCACTTATCATTTTACTTCACAAAGATCATGAGTATATTTGGAATAATTCTGAATAAAAAGCATTTGATAATTTAAAACAATATTTAATTATTATATCTGTCTTAATTTTGTCAGATTCTAAATTATTCTTTACTATCAAAAAATTTTTGAGAGTATAGTTTTGTGCAGATCTTCAGATTCAAAATCTATGTAAAACTTCAAATCTGGTAATAATTGATAAAGAAAAAAAAATTAAAAAATCTATACAGATCTGTAATAAAATATAAATTTATGCAGATTTTTTAATTTTTTTTAAAATTCTATGTAAAACTTTGTAATATTAATTTCAAGTAGTAATAGTAATTTCAAGTAATAATAGCAGTAACAATTTCAAGTAATAATAACAATAGCAATTTCAAGTAATAATAGAATTCATAGATTAAATAATAATAAAAATATTTATTTTATTATAAAGTATATATATATAATAATAAAATATAAATTTAAAAAAAACTATATTATATAAATTTACAATCCAAGTTAGTGATCTTTTAAATAAAAAATTAGTTTTTTTAAAGACTTTAAAGAAATAAATTGCAAAGAATATTAAAAAAACTTATAAAATTATTATAGTTATTATCTTTCTTATTATTATCTTCTTTTTTAATCATATTCTAAGAAATAAATTACAAAGAAGATTAAAAAAACTTATAAAATTGTTATAGTTATTATTTTTCTTATCATCATCATCTTCTTTAATCATATTCTAAGAAATAAATTACAAAGAATATTAAAAAAAACTTATAAAATTGTTATAGTTATTATCTTTCTTATCATTATTATCTTCTTTAATTATATTTTTAGCTCATGACTTTTGGTATTTTTTCTTTGTCACTTGCTTTATCTCTTTAATTTCTTTTTTTACTATTTTTACTATTATTTTTGATATTACTAGCTAATTATTTTCTATAGCTCATTAAATATCTAATATATAAATGATTTTTAAAATAAACTTTAAATAAATTCAAAGCATTACTTACTATAAATACATATATATATCTTGCTTCTAATCTATCTTTATATTTAATTTCTAAACTTGATAAACTGAGAAGAATACAGATAGCTAGAATAAATATGTAATATATTATCAATAATACTTTTTCTTTATATTTCTTAAATATTATATAACTAATATTTGTAAGCAATTTATTATTATAAAAGAGATTTTTATATATAGTTTAAGTTTTTTTACTTTTTTTTTATTCAACAAGATGAATGATAAATGTATTATTATTAACTCTTAATAACTTCTCTTTACTAAATATTAAAAAGATAATATTTCAGATAATAGAAGTATAATTATTATATTTACTATAATATTTTACTCTTATCTAAAATTATCAAATAAAAATAATTAGTAAAAAATTTGCAGATTTATATAATTTATAATAAACTTAATAAATATATTTCTCTATAAACATAAATATCTACATATTATAATCTACATCATTAATATAATCTTTAACATTTTCTGCAAAATATTTCTCTAATATTTATTAATATTTCTTGAGAATTGAAAAAAGAATTATAAGAATTAATTCTTTAGCTATCTTTTTGTATACTTGCTATATAAAATAATAAAAAAAAGAATTTTAATAGATCTTGCAGATTGATTTTTAATTTTAAAAGTAATCAAAAATAAGTATCTTTCTAAATATTTCAGATAGTTTATCAATAGTAACTAATTTTTAATTAATTTGATTTATTTTTATATTTAATCATCTAAAAATTAATAATAATAATATATACTCTTGATTTTTTTGTTTAAAATATTTATTATATAATTAAATTCTTTATAAATTAAAGATCTTTTATAATTTGATACTTGAGTAAGTAAAAATTAAGTTAATAATGAAGAATATCTAATATTATTAATTTTTATATTATCACTAAATGACAAATAATTATATAAAATAAATTGATTTATAGAAGAATAAAATGGTAGAAAAGGAGAAATTATGATAAGATTTATGATTTCTTTATACTTGCTTTTATCACCTATTATATTTAATAGAAAGAAATTAGCAAAAATATTTATTTATAACATCTTTATATAGTTTTTGCAGATATTAATTTACTAATCTGATAAAGATGAAGCAATAGATAAAGCAATAGGTAAAGCAGTAGGTAAAGTAATAGATAAAGTAGTAGATAAAGTAGTAGATAAAGTAAT